TGTAACTGGACGACGGATTTGGTAACTGTAACTAGACGACGGATTTGGTAACTGTAACTGAATTTTTGGTCACTAATGATTTTGGTCACTGACGAATTTTTGGATTTTTTGTCACAAATGTTTTTTGGTCACTGAGTGGATTGGTCATGGTCACTAGTCAGATTGGTCACTGGACGGGTTGACGTTGGTAACTAGGTAAAATTTTTGGTCACTAATGATTTTGGTCACTGACGGATTTTTGAAATTTTGGTCACAAATGATTTTTGGTCACTGGGTGGATTGGTCATGGTCACTAGTCGAATTGGTCACTGGACGGGTTGACGTTGGTAACTAGGTAGAATTTTTTGTCACTAATGATTTTGGTCACTGACGGATTTTTGGATTTTTGGTCACAAATGATTTTTGGTCAGTGACGAATTTTGGTCACGATAATGGTTTTGGTCACTGTGGCGTTATTGTAGACTAATGGGTGAGATTCTATTAAAATAAGGGTATAATAGTCTCTTAACCCATTTTTAGTCTCATTTTTGGAAAATTGAAATAAAGGTCTCTTTTTTGTTCATAGCTCTTTTTTTAGTATTATTTTAGACATAACCCCTACTAACTATCCCGTTTATCACGAGCTACCTTTTCTATCCCATATGATTATAAGAACAGCATATATGCTTTCTTATGCCGATACTTCGTATATCAAGGTAAAGGCTCCGTTTGTTTATCGGAGGTTTCACACCAATCCGCTACTTTTTGCAGCGTTTCACTTTGTAAAAATTTGGCGGATTGGCCAAATCCGCTGATATCCGCTTATAACCACACATTATATCAAAACCACTTGTTCAAATACCAAACACAGAGAAAAATACTAACTTGCATATTCAAAAGAGAATATCAAAAGTTCAAAACTGTAGAAGTATAGAGGTGCATATACCTATGTTTTTCTTTTAGTTTATTTTACATCTAAATTTTTGACTAGCAAATGAACACCACTAGTTAATTATATATATCCAATATCCAATATCCAATTAGGGATTAAAACTGTAATTATTCTTCTCCAAGGTAGGGTACTACACTTCATATTTTCTCAAGTACTACATTTCAATCAAAAAATTCAAGCCCACTGAAAAATTGATAAGCAAAAGAAAAGAATACAAATGTGCTATTCTAACAACAGTCAACTCAAATCAATATTTGGTTTCTGAGCTCATTCCCAGCCAAGTACTGTTCATGTAATTGGGATATTGGGCTATGTTGTGACCTGTCCATTAAGGATTCTTGTCTAGAGATCCAGCCCAATCAGCAACCCTCAGCATGCTGTGATCCAGCGGACAGAAACTGAACCTCCTCTGCATCGTCAGCCCACATAGCAATCCTCCGCCGCCGTCCGTGCCGAGCACTTTCTTTGCCGTCGTGTCCACCGCCAACTCGTTTTTGTCTGAGAAATTGTGGTTCGAGTCATTACCGTTGGACGAACTGGAGGAAGAAGACAATTCGCGCGACAACGCACTGGAAGACTTCTGGCTCCTCTTAAACCCGGAATCGCTGAGCCGGCGGTGGCGGCGGAGCATGGTCTCTTTCCTCGCCACCAAGTCGCGGAAGGAAATAGCTGAAACTCCACCTGTCATCATCGCGCGATCCAACTTGGTAGCTTTGTAGAGAGAGGCGCCGATGTTGAGAACGCCGTGGAATCTGCCAGAAGGGCGTTGTATCTGGACGGGAATGCACGCGGGAGTCCCGGCGGCTTCCTTGATCGAGTCGCGGCAGCTGCTGAGGAGGAATCGGACAGAGCCGACGAGAACGTCTTTGATGCAGGCGGCGGCGTAGATCTCGAATGAGACTCCGGATGTTTCGCTGGAGACAAAATCGGGCGAGATCCGGAAGAGGAACTTGTCGTTCCAGGTAGGGTTTTCGCCGCCGAAGCGGTCCAGTCCAGTTCTGAGCTTGGCGGAGGAGTCGACCCAGGCGACGGCGTAAGTTTGCAATCGGCGCAGGTTAGCGGGAGGCGCCTTCAGACCTTGAGCAGAGATCAAGTTAATCTCCAGAATGTGAGTCTCCCCCTCCATTGTTTCTCGTCTATCCTCCGGCGAATCTCACAGCATCTTCAACTCCCCTTCTCTTCTTCTGGCTGATGGTTGAATTCAACAAGAAATCAGAGAATCAATTGGAAAGCGATTTCGTTTTTTAAAATACAGAGTTCATTAAAAGTGAAGAAATCCGTTCATCAATCAAATAAGAAATTAAAAGGAGATGAGACCTTTTATGAGGGAAAACGTTCTGCACTGCCCTGTCTCTCTTCTCTGCGACGGCGAAGAAGACGGAAGGGAAGAGGAATCAGAAGTGGTGAAAGCGCTGAGCGGCGGCCGTATTTTAATCAACGTCGGGGACTGATGAGATAATTAATTCGTTAATTCTGGTATTCCAGCTGGATTCCCGGTTATATATTTCAAGATTTGGGATTGCTCAATCTTCTGGTTAAGTTTCGAGAACCCACCGCCCATGGCGACTCCGACTTGGCTGTTTGGAATTAATTGTACGGATATATAGTGATTTAAATTAAATAATAATGAAATAGTTTTAATTAGTTTTGATGTTACATCAGATTTGTGATACATAGGGATGGCAACGGGCGGATCGGGGACAGTTTTACATAGTCCCGCCCCGTAACCGTCCCATTACCCAACGGGTAATTTTTATCCAACCCATAACCGCCCCAACGGGTAACGGGTAAAATTCCGTGTACCCGCTTTATTGTAAAATTCCCCATTACCCAAATGATTCATTAAATTTTTGATATATAAATAATATTTTAAAAGACGAAAAATGACATTGCATAGAAAAGTCAAATTGGCCAAGTTTTGTGGGACAGAGGGAGTATAACACATGCAGCTAAAACATGATGACTTATGAATAAATTATCAACAAATGTGAAATAATAAGAAATTATAAAACATTGCTTCCGGGAAATAATATACCAAACGATGTAATTGCATAATTTCTAAAATTTTCGTGGCAAAAAATTTGTCACGTGCCTTCTAAAAATGTTCATGTAAGGTAGGCCAAAAAGTTGCAATTTTAGGCCTATTTCATTTGAGCTATTTCCAGGTCGAATTTTTTTAATGAAATTTGGTGAGCATGTTCCTATGGAATGTAGATTATGTCCACCAAATTTTAGATTAAAATTAAATCGGGAAGTTAGTTAAATAAATTTTTAAAAATCGTATAATTTTTTAGGTCTAAAAATGCATTTTTTCAATAAATTATTTAAGTAACTTCTTGATTTAATTTTAATCTAAAATTCGGTGAACATAACCTACACTTTAGGAAGAACACGATCACCAAATTTTATCAAAACATTCGACTCAAAAGCAACTCAAATTTCATAAAAATGTCACATTCCTGTCACGACGTCCTGACCGGAACCCCTGTGCGGACAACACCATCAGAGGGTTTTCCCGCTGAATTTTTTTGATGAATTTTTTTTAGCATGTTCCTCATCAAGTCTAGTTTATTCATACCAAATTTCAGCTCAAAATTCAATCGGGAAGATAGTTAAAAAATTGTTGAAACATACTGCATTTTATATATGCACAAAATGTGCTGTAAGAGAAGAGCCGCCACTTGGAGTGACGGCTTTCCTTAACCACAGTTAACCCGGCAGTATTTTGGAAATTATTTTTAACCCAACAGTATTTTGGGAATTATTTATTTAATTAGCATTATTTCGGGAAAAAACTCAATAATATTTGATAAAAGATGTAACTTTTGGGTAATATGACCGGTTCACGAGTCAACTCAGAATCAATAGATTAACATGGCCAGCGTTGGAAAACCTGTTAACATAAAAATAACTCGTTGTCCGGCCAAGTCTATTTGAAGGGTTTCTGGAAGGAATTTTGTAAATATGTTCTCCATTAAGCATACATTTTTATACAAAATTTCAGTTTAAAATTGAGAAAAGGAACAAATAAGCTACTGAACTATTTGCAATTCCGCATCAGGCCCCTAAATCGGAAGATTTAGCATGAATTGATGAGTGTATTTGCAAGTCTTCCGGTTCATGGACCAGATTGTAGAATCACAAATAGTTCAAAGGTTTGTTTTCCCTTTTCTCTTTAAAACTTGATGGTGAAGTCAGTCAAATGTGTAATTGAAAATCACTGCGCTGTTTATTTAGCTGCTATCCGATTGAATTTTGACCTAACACTTTTTAGATAAAATTTCGTCAAAGAATTCCACCGAAAACTCTCTTAAACAGGCTTGACGGGATGGAAGTTACGATCGAGGCGGCCTGACATGAAAATTCATCATAATAAACATATAATACGGAGTAGTATTTAAAATTAGAATTAAAACAGTTACTCTTCATAATAAACAATAATACTTGCAAACGTTTTTTTATCATAATACTTGCAAACTTATAGAACACTCATAAGAATGACTTATACTTCGTATAAATATACTACCTCCGTCCCTGTTATTTTCCCATTGCTTTATCGTCGATGCTTGATCGACAATAAAACAAATAGATCTCTGTCCACGCTCAACACATTATTTTTAGAAATATCACATTATAAGTTTAACACATGGCACAATACCGGCAAAATATAATTTGGAAACACAACAACATTAGCACGGCTGAATACTTTTCTCCAATAACCAGCAAGTGCATGTTCCCATATAACAGCTACACTCTTAAAAGGTTCCTGCACAAGACTGTAAGTCTGTAATAATAAGTGTAGTATTAATGGGTAGTACCACTTTGATGGCGGCGAGTCCATAGCTGGCACTGTATTATTATGACGCAGTATAATAGATCTTTTATTGTTTTTTTTATAAATACTCCGTAATACATTTCTAAATACTCTAATACATTTATGTGATATTTTTAAATTATCATTATTATTCCGCAACCGTGGAAAAAGTAAGCATGTTTTATTATTTATGTTCTATCACTGATTTTAGTTAAATATATTTCGTTACTAAGCTGAGTATTTCAGCAGAGCATTGATATGGTATTTTGATTATCATTGTGAAGGTTATTAAAACACTTCTAAATGCAACAGATGATATAAACAGACCGAGTACGTCTATTTTGAGACACTTTCAAAAACAGAGCATAACAATTGACTTCAAACAAAACGTATTGCCGTCTCTTTTACACACTACAAAAAGAAAGAAGCAAAAACCGGTTTATTTCGTACAATTACACAACCTCGGATGAATCCATTTCTGGAAGTGCTCTACTTTTTTGCTTTCTCATTTTCAGCTTCTTCTTTCTCCTGGAAGAGGACAACATCTTCTCAAGTTGGTTGATTCTAGCAGAGAGAGCAGATATGGTGGTCAGCTGCTCTTTACCCGATTCAACCAATCCCTCCATAAGCTTCCTTAATTTTTCATTCTCCTCCATTACCAACTTCCTATCACCTTCTAGATTTGAATATGCCGACCAACCACTATCAGCAGCTACTGCAGTTGCACTGACAGCAGCTTCTTCTTCCGCTGCTCCTACTTCGACATCCTTTTCTCCACCACTTTTTAGCTCAACATTCTCATCTTGAACCTGCTGCTGCTTTTGATCATCATCTTCCATTTCTTTATCCAACTTTCCATTGTCCTCCGCTACGTGCTTACTATCACCTTCCTGATCAGAAGGTTCCGACCAACCAGCAACTTCAGCAGCTGCTGCAGTTTCATTGACAACGGCTTCTTCTCTGGCAGTTGTTTCTGTACCACTCTTTAGCTCAACATTTTTACCCTGGACCTGCTGCTTCTTTTGATCATCACCTTCCATTTCTCTATCCAACTCTTCATTATCCTCCATTACATGCTTGCTGTCACCTTCCTGGTCAGAACATGCCGACAAACCAGCGACTTCAGCAGTTGCTGCAGTTTCATTGACAACAGCTTCTTCTGCTTCTTTGGGAGCTGTTTCTCCACCACTCTTAAGCTCAACATTTTCATCCTGGACCTGCTGCTTCTTTTTGTCATCATCTTCCAATTTTCTATCCAAGTGCTCTGCTTCCACCAGACCTGCATCATCTTGTGGAAGTCCATCGCTATCCCCTTTTGTTGCTTCAGATGTCTGCCTACAAATTCCAGTTTCTTGATCAGTTCGTGCTTCTACCTCCTCCTCATGCTCTACACCATTCAAAATGCTATCTAGTGGTGGGGCTTGTGCATTTTCTTTCACCTGATCCTTCAACAAACAGGACTCATCCAGACCCTTTTGCTGCTCTTCCTGGGATGGTACATCAAGATGACTAGCATCTGTTTTCTCTACATCATAGTTAGTTGATGATGGGCACTGATCTAGGTCCAATGTCATCTCCTTGGCTTCTAATGATTCCATGGAAGTCGGCTGAGCATCATCTATCTGGTCATCATTTTCTTGCCCATCATCCGGCACCATGTCATGTGAATTTTCCAGTGGAAGTGGCAGCAGCTCCCCCTCTTCACATTGCTCCATTGTGTTATTGGGATGCCCTTGAATGACGGTAGCATTCCCATCAACACAAGTAGCACTCCCATCAACACCAATAGCATTCTCAGCTGTTAAATGGTGCTTAGTTGTTGTTTGTTGGGGAAGACTTCTGCCAACAAGAGAGTCCAGCTTTTCCTGCAGAATAACCAGCTCTCTGGTAACCGATTTCCTAACCTCTCTTACACTTGGGTGTAAGCCCTACAACAAAAAGAAGCAAATAAAAAATCAGTTACACATTAGAAGGGAGGTGCTATTAAAAATAACCCCCTTCCACCACTAAAATGAGTAAATAAACAAAGCAAAAGAAATTGTGTTACCAACACTTCCATAAAACTAGCATTCCAAAATACTTGACAAGGATATCGTGAAAATTGTTTTATTATATACCTGAATTGCATCAAGCTTCAGAAGAAGGTTCATTATGGTCTCCGCTATCACATTTTTCTGCTTGTCATCAACCGGCTTGTCAGAAGAGTCCTCCAAAGCCTGAATATGAGTCCTTAGCTCAGCCACTTGCTCTTTAAAACTGGATATTTGCTTTAGTTTCTTCAGAGTCTCCCATTTACGCACTTCAAAACCACGATATGCCGACTGGATCTTGGTGGCTGCCTCGCTTTCTGAAAATTCTATTTTGGTCAGTGTTTTTGTTTGACCTTTTGTGTTATCGCAGAGTACAACTTTTCCAGGACATGTTCCATTTTCTTGGTCACAGGGAGCAACTCCTTTAACTCCAACACTACCTATTGGGCTTTCACTTTCACCAGTAGGAAAAGCACATCCAGCATTCGCTTTTTTCTGTGCATCCTCCCCTTGGGTTGCCTCTTGAATGTTGACCTTTACAGTTTTAGTGTTGCATTTGCTTTCCTCCACCTTGTTACTAACCCCACACAAGCCTTCGCATTCACTGGTCCCTATCCCATTCAATGGGACAGTATGTTTGTCCTTTGGCCTATCATGAGGTTTGTTTTGGCCGTTTTTCCTTGGAAAGGGGTCAACCCTTAGACAAACAGGAGGTAGCTTAGATGGCTTTTTGGAAGAGGATACTTGTTGAGGGCCATTCTCCTTCATGAGTTTTTTGTCCCCATTTTCAGTTTTTGGCTTCATAGTAGCATGGGCGGAGTTTCCTTCAGTCTGGTTTGAAGGGGACTTCATGTCATTATGATCTTCCAATTGCTTTACGGGAATGACCTTTGGGAAAGAAACTCCTTTGTTTACCGTCTTCTTTTCCTCAATCCCGGAATTGAAGGCCTTACCTTCATCATCCAAGGACCCTTTTGGATTGGGTTCCAAGAGGGGAGGCAATTCCTGATCAGAGGAAGAGTTTGGACCCAAATCAATTACTTTCCTTCCAATCTTTGGAGTATCTTTTGGTTGGTCAGGCATCCAGACTATTGGATATGGGAAAGGCATGCTCTTACCATCTTGTTTATGTGGTGTTGTTAGCCGCAAGTCTTCCCCGTCCTTCATTCCTTCAGAATTCTTCATGTAAGGAAACCAACCAACTGGATAAGGATGACTCCAGGCGTTGAAAGGAACCATAGCTTCACCATTTTTCCTATCCACGTTCTCATCATGCTCCTCAATCTTCAAATCCTTTGTCTCATTCTTCTTGCAAGGATGGTTTGGGCACCCACAGCAATGATGATCTGTGGGAAAACTATTTGGAAAGCCATAATGCGGCTGCTCCATTGAGAAGTATGGAGGGGGCGCATAGTGAAAGGGATACGGTCCTGGAGGCACATAGTGGAAAGGATGAGGTGCAATGTGGGGGTAAGGAGGTCTGAGAGCACAAGAACTTGGTTGTTGAAAATTGCTGCTATGGCAACAACCCCCATGGGATACTGGACATGGATAGCCACCTAATGGCCAAGATCCGTAAAACTTGCCCGGATCCACGTTCATATCAGGCCTGGCAGGTATTTGACCATTGGGATAATAATAAGAATATGGGAAAGTGGGGATTTGATTCTTATGGTATGGATAAGAATCCATTTTTCTTTTCCGGAAAATCTGATATCTGCTGTCAAAAGGAGAGAAGAAATTAAATAAGTCTATAGAATAAACTATTGACAAATGAAGAGAAGAAACGAAATGAGACTAAATCTCAACAATTCACATAAAATTTTGTTTTCTTCAGAGCTGGAATCCACCAATGCCCCTATGTAGAGCACTAAACAGTAAACAACTAAACACGGCCATGCTCATATAACCTAACAAGTTATAGAGGATTGGACAATTGATTTCAACCAGGAATTTGCCTGGATACATCACCACCGGAAAACACAGGTTCTACAAAAACCTAGCTTAAAACACACTTTTTTCATTTTTGAATGATGTGAATTCCAAATAAACATGAACAAAACTAGGTTCAGCATTCAATTATACGAAATTACGAACCATAAAATTAAACATTATGCATTAATTTTGCCAGTTGAGATTCCAAGACCTTTATTAATCAGGAACGGAAAATTACAATTTTAGCCGGGCGTTACGTCGTAAACCTCCGAGTAAAATAAATAAACTAAAAAGACGATCATGAAACTGAAGAATGAACCGGGATATACTTACAGTCGTTACGATGAAGATCGAAGAAAATTAAATGACAAAAATCACAAAAGCCACCAGCTCAATTCAATCGATCGATCAACCAACAGAAAACGATGAAGAGTTCCGAGCTTATCTGGTAAGGAGTACTACTTTAATTTTCTGATTCTTCTTTCTTCTGAAATTCTGATAATATTATTTTGTTTTTAGTTAGAGATATATAGAGAGTGATCGGTTTTGTCTACGACCTTCGAGATGTTTCGCGGCTTTCTCAACGTTCCAAATGTCTCCTCCCTAGCTCAGCAGTTCCCGTTCTTTTCGTGGGTCCCATTCTAACATGACGTGGCTTAATTCGAAGTCAGTTTGGTACTCGAACTTGTAAAAAAGGTGTCAAATAAGTCCTTATATAGAAGATTATGTCCGGACGTGCCGTTTGAGGTGGCTCCCAGTGGAATTTTTTGATAATTTTTTTGAGCATCTTATTCATTAAGTCTAGTTTACTCATACCAAATTTTAGCTAAACATTCAATCGGGAAGACATTCAAATGAATTCTTGAAGATAACTACGCTGTTAACGATACAGTTATCTTCAAGAATTCATTTCAATGTCTTCCCGATTGAATTTTTATCTGAAATTTGATATGAGTAAACTAGACTTAATGAATAAAATGCTCAAAAAATTTCATCAAAAAATTCCACCGGGAGCCACCTCAAATGACACTTCCGGACAGAATCTTCTATATAAGGACTTATTTGACTCCTTTTTTGCAACTTCGAGGACTAAACGGACCCTTATCCCAAGACAATACGGAATGTAACTCTAGGGCCGTATGGACTGCCATAATGGGAAGCCCAATTGTATTCTCAACAAGTGGAGACAATATGGATCGGCAACTCAGCCCAATAAAATATTATTTTCGAATTTATCCATTCATCTCTATAATATTTTATCATAATCTCCGCAAATCATATAATTTAACCATAGTCAAGCACTTTCTAATTTGATGACATCAGTGTAATACTCTTTTGAGGACATCAATGTTTGGAATTCATCACAATCAAGAATAAGTAGTTTCCATTGGCATATTTTATTCAGTATAATTTGTGCAAGAATACGTTTTTTCTTAAAATGTTAGCCTCGGTCTGATAATTTTAAATTTTTGTGTAGGTAGAAAAGATTCATATCAAAGATGTACTTACTAACTCACTTCAACATCTTTACAATATTCTTTGGTTTTAGGCTTTGAGCTAAGTGATACTTTTTGCGATTTTTGGTAGAAAAAACAGTGGATGAGTACCTTTTTCACAATTTTGGATGACTAGCATCCCCACCTTGCACTCATTAAAGGTTTATTGAGTTTGACCTATTGCAAGTTAAAAATATTCGTGTTCAAATTTCTTTAAGTTTATTTGAGTTGGGGGAATCTTTTGAGGAATATCAAATAATTACTCGAACTTTAAATATATTGTGAAGTATTGGTTTGATACAAAGCAACTACAAGTCTACAACTGCTCGAAAAATGTTCAGTTGAACTATTGAACATGATAGTATCCTTTTGACTTTTTTGTAGGGCATTAACTATTTCCCAAGCTCATTACTGAATTCCTCAAGCTCATTCATTACTTTTCACCTATATTAATTAATTGTCTTTCATAAAATATTCAAGATCACATAAACTCATGTTTCATTAGTATTACCATATGGAACAATGATCAGAAAATGACAAAAAAAATTGCTCCCAAAGCTTCAATAAAAAAAAATCTGCATTTGAATAATTCCATCACAATAATTCCCAAAAATGATAAAATAGTTCCAAATCTAAAATCTAGTGCACTTTCTTTTCCATCTCACGCTAATTATTTTAGTTTATTCACCGCAGATTGCTTTTTATAAAATACTGAAATATGAGTTGCAAAAAAAAAATTGAAATATTTATAGTGATATGCAGGGTGATGGATGTGTAATGACAGTAAGTCATGTGACATGTTAAAAATGATATATTTAACCATATTTTTGGATGTTCTAAAATAGTCACACTTCTGTTATTTTTCTTTAATTACATTTATGCCAAAACCCAAATGAAACAATGACCAAAATACTATTTAGGATTTAAGATGACTTGGTCACTTTTTAAAACTACCTAAAATTAGTTATGTTTTTGTTCATTAAACTTTTGAAAAATTTCAAACCTCGCAATATCTAGAATTTGCTTCTGTAGCTAAGACATTACAAGTAAGTTGAATAGAAATATGATGATTTCTATTGTATACAGAGGCGGAACCAGAACTATTTCGAAGGAGGTGCTGAAAAATAAAGAGAAAAGAAATAAATATACCTTGGATTTTGCGTATGAGAGCAAATATACTCTCCAATTTCAGTTTAACGCAAATAAAAGCATATCCTTATACCACTTTAAGGGATTATTAGGCTGGATGTTTTGTCTGTTCCTTATATATGTTTTTAGCTAATCTGATCAATTCGATTTGTTTCCTTCTTGCTGCAAGGGTATGCTCTTAGTGAGGTTTTGGTTTAGTCCCCCTCACTTCTTGTATGTTTACTTGCTTTTAATAAAATTTGGTAGATGATGCCCGGCTTCTACCCCACTGATTTTGGTGGTTTGCCTTCCAGGCTAAAATAATAATAATAATAATAATAATAATAATAATAATAATAATAATAATAATAATAATAATAATAATAATAATAATAATAATAATAATAATAATAATAATAATAATAATAATAATAATAATAATAATAATAATAATAATAATAATAATAATAATAATAATAATAATAATAATAATAATAATAATAATAATAATAATAATAATAATAATAATAATAATAATAATAATAATAATAATAATAATAATAATAATAATAATAATAATAATAATAATAATAATAATAATAATAATAATAATAATAATAATAATAATAATAATAATAATAATAATAATAATAATAATAATAATAATAATAATAATAATAATAATAATAATAATAATAATAATAATAATAATATGCGGTGAGAGTTTAAATAAAAAGTCTTAACAGCCAAATGGTTAATTTGATGCATAATAACCCAATTTAATGCATTTTCAAAGAATCCTTAAATTATTTGATGCACTTTTCAAAAATTGAGTCAAATAAGATTTATTTAAAAAGTGCATCAGATAAGATTATTGTGCATCATATACTATTTGTTCAAAATGGTATATATGTTCTTACGCAGCTAGTCCAAATGAAGTTTTTTTGGCCGGAGAACGTGTACACATAAGTTAATTGTTATGTAAATACATACAGTTCAAGAGTTTATTTGAAATTTCTCTAAAAAATATATGAAGTCTCAAACAAAGTAAATTAACTACTACCAAAATTAAATGCATTCTTTGTACACGTCTTTAAAAAAGTATCAAAACCAAAACATATTATATTTGCAGAGTCCTTTTCTTGTCCAGCCGGCCTGACGGGAACCGCCGTCCGGCCGAGGGCATTTCGGGCACTTCCAGATGAAATTTTTTGATGAAATTTTTTGAGCATGTTCTTCATGAAGTCTAGTTTATCCATACCAAATTGCAGATCAAAATTCGATCGGGAAGGCATTCAAATAATTTTTTGAAGTTGACTGCGTCAAAGTATACTTATAAAAACCCAGTCAACTTCAAAAAATTATTTGAATGTCTTTCCGATCGAATTTTGAGCTGAAATTTGGTATGGATAAACTAGACTTGATGAAGAACATGCCCAAAAAATTTCATAAAAAAATATCATCAGCAAGTGCCTGAAATGCCCTCGGCCGGACGGCGGTTCCCGTCAGGCCGGCTGGACATGAAAAGTCCTCTATATTTGCATACCCTAAATTAGCCATATCATTGGAATTGAATTACACATGAGAATATTTTGTCCTATTATTTCTTTATTATTAGAAGTCACTACGTGGTGTGTATTAAGAATCACCCATGATTTTACAAATTATAAATAATAAAAACATACTATCAATATACATAAATTGACTAATTTACAATCAAATAACAAATAGTCAAGTAGTCCTATGAATGGCTAGAGTTCCGCCAATTATGAATGGCTAGAGTTCCCCTCTAATTATAAAGCCACTTATACTCCGTAAAAGTTTAAGATTCAAGCCACTTAGGCATAATCAGGGTTATGGATATGCACAATTTGGTAATTGGGCCGGCCAAAATGTATCTCTATTAGTACGGATACCGATTACGGAGTTGGTCAATATTCAAAAGTCAGACTGGCATAGCGCATAAGTATTACTCCCTCCGTCCCTATATTATCTCCTCCTTTGACATTTCACACAAATTAAGATAGTGGGATTTGTGTGGTGGAGAGTTGTGCAGAGGAGAGAGAAATGTGTAAGAATGTGTAAGAATGGTTGTGAACCACAAATTCTTTACCAAAAAGAGAAAGAGGATATAATTTTGGGACGGACGAAAAAGGAAAGTTTGAAAATAATTCAGGGACGGAGGGAGTATTCTATGTCGTTTAGTTATATATTGTTGTCGTTTAAGTTATTTTTATTACTTGTCAAAGCGGGGTGGTTTCGTTAAATGAGAAAACACACAGACTGCATCTATCGCTCCTTTCTGCAGTCGGGGCGTAGAGAATAGGGTCGGCGAACCAGAAAAGAAGACGACCGATACCAGGGGCGCGAAGCAAATAACACATATATATACCTTAACTTTTCCGGCGAAGGGGGGCGCCGGCACCGGCACCGGCTCGCCCCCCTCTAGTTCCGCCACTGATTGTATATCATAATACTTCACGAAAGACCTTTATCAACGTTTTTTGGTCTCTTTAATTATTACTCTTGTAGTGCAATGTAAGTTTTAAACTTAAATTATCATGCTATCATATATTCTTCATCTTTTTGTTTGGTCAATGTATACTAAAAAGTATATAAAGACTAACAACTTTTCCCTAAAATGTTTTTCCTATGAGAAATTAAAACTCAAATGATAAATTTTATTCCTTTTATCTTACTACTTTTATCACATATTTCCTATTTTATTATCTAACTAAATCTATTACTACTTGGTAATATGTGTGATTTTCAAAATAATAACCACTACTTATAAATTGAGTTTTTGTCACTTTCAATCCTCGTCTATTGTGTCAGTGACACTTTTGGTACTCGACTTTCAGTTTTTTCATTTTTTGTTTTTGACTATTGTGCGGGAGACATTTTTAGTCCCCCACTTCACAGTTCCCACATTTAGTCCTCTGATCACTATCAAATTGA